CGGGGTTGTCTTTAGTTGGAATCTTCTGGATAATGATTTCCCCTTCACCAACAATTTCATGAACAAAGTGATAACGCACATTTATGTGCTTGGTCTTCGCATGATGAACCTGATACTTAGCCAAATAAATGGCATTCTGACTATCACAATGTACCTCCACCTGCTTCTGATCAACCCCCAAATCTCTAATCAGCCCATGTATCCAAATGGCCTTCTTTATAGCTTCAGCAACTGCCATATATTCAACCTCTGTAGTAGACAAGGCAACAGACGACTGCAAAATGGACCTCCAACTAACTGATCCTTTAGCCATAGTAAACACATAGTCTGTAGTAGACTTCCTTCCATCCATATCACTTGCATAATCTGTATCAACATAACCAACTGCAAAATGACCAATACCAGAGTCATCCTTTTCAAAGCATAAACCAACATCTCGAGTACCATGGAGATATCTCAATATCCACTTAGCTACTTGCCAATGCTCTTTACCTGGATTATGCATATATCGACTCACCATGCCAACTGCATGAGCAATATCCGGTCTAGAGCATACCATTGCATACATCAAACTACCAACCAAATTTGCATATGGTATATTTTTCATTTGCAGCTTCTCTTTATCAGTTTTAGGACATTGTAGAGAACTCAATTTAAAATGAAGAGCCAAAGGGGTACTAACCGGTTTGGTTGAATCATGAACTCCAAACTTTTGGATCAACTTCTCAAGGTATTGTCTTTGATTCAAACTGACCAAACCCTTCTTTCTATCTCTAGTGATCTCCATGCCAGGGATCTTCTTTACTTCACCAAGATCCTTCATCTCGAACTCGTTCTTCATTTGTTTCTTCAATTTCTCAATCTCTTCAACATTCTTTGAGGCAATCAACATATCATCAACATATATCAACAAATAAATGAAAGACCCATTTGCAACTTCTTGAAGTACACACAATGATCATATTGACTTCTAGAATAATTTTGGCCTCTCATAAATTTATCAAACCTCAAATACCATTGCCTTGGAGATTACTTCAAACCATAAAGTGATTTCTTCAATTTGCAAAACAAATTCTCCTTCCCTTTCACTATATACCCATCTGATTGACACATATAAATCTCTTCATTCAAAGCACCATGTAGGAAAGCTGTCTTCACATCAAGTTGCACAAGCTCAAGATCATACTGTTCAATAAGAGCTAACATAATGCGAATTGAGAAGTGCTTCACAACCGGAGAAAAGATTTCATTGTAGTCAATGCCCTCCTTTTGTGCATACCCTTTAGCAACTAATCTTGCTTTGAATCTCACATTACTTTTCTCATCAGCATCTTCCTTCTTGGCATACACCCATTTGCAACCGATAGCTTTCTTGCCCTTAGGCAATTTAGCTAACTCCCAAGTCTTGTTCTTCAAGAGAGAATTCATCTTTTCACCCATGGCATTGCACCACCTCTCATTTTCTTCACTCTCAATAGCTTCCTCAAAATTGGATGGAATCTCATCAGTGATAATAGGAAGAGCAAAAGAAACATAGTCACTATACCGAGCTGGCTTGGTAATTTGCCTCTTTCCTCTGTTCTTGGCAATAGACTCTTGATGTGAAACTTGTTCTTCAACTTGAATAGAATCTTCAAGTTCAAATTCTTCAACATCCTCATGGTCTCCAACTTCTTCACTTGTAGTGGCTTCGACATCAGCGGAAATAGGATTTGAAGTACCAGAGGCAACTTTATCAAGCTCCACATGTTGGACATCTTTCACATTCTTCTCAGAGTCTTTGTACATACTTTCTTCATCAAATGTCACATCTCTGCTGATTACAAGTTTTTTCATCTCTGGGCACCACAATCTGTAACCTTTGACACCACTACTAAAACCAAGAAAGATAGGCTTTTTGGCTCTAGGATTAAGTTTATTTTCAGTCACATGAAAATAAACAGATGAACCAAAAATACGGATATAGTCATAATCAGAAGAAACTTTTCCAGTCCATACCTCCATTGGTGTCTTACCCTGAATAGCAGTTGAGGGTAATTAGTTAATGATGTGACATGCATAAGTAACTGCTTCTGCCCAAAACGACTTGCTCAAACCCGACTGAGACAACATGCATCTAACATTTTCAAGCAAGGTTCGATTCAATCTTTCTGCAACTCCATTTTGTTGTGGAGTTCCCTTGACACTGAAATGTCTTATAATCCCTTCTTCTTTGCAAACTTTTAAGAAAGGGTCGGATGTGTATTCACCACCATTATCCGATCTCAAAATCTTAATCTTTCTCCCAGTCTGGTTCTCAACCATTTTCTTCCAACCCAAGAAAATGCTTAATACCTCACTCTTGTGCTTCATAGTGTAGACCCAAGACCTTCTTGAATAATCATCAACAAAGGTCACGAACCAATGTCTACCACTCAAAGAGGGAGTCTTTGTAGGACCCCAAACATCCGAATGCACATAATCAAGAATGCCATTCGTCTGATGTACAGCAGTACCAAACTTCACTCTAGTTTACTTCCCCAAGACACAATGCTCGTAGAAATCAAGCTTACAAGTCGTGGCACCTTTTAGAAGACCTTGTTTCACAAGCCCTTGTAAAGCTTTCTCACCGGCATGGCCTAATCTCATATGTCATAATCTAATAGTATCTGAATCAGATGTGCCCATATTTTCAGAGACTACAGATGCTTCACCTGTCACAGTGCTTCCCTGCAATAAATACAAATGGCTACATCGAGGAGCTTTCATCACAACAAGTGCACCATAAGTAACTTTCAATGTCTGCCCATCTGAATGAAACCTGAAACCCTTGGATTCTAAAGTGCCCAAAGAAATAAGATTTTTCTTCAAATTCGGTACATACCGAACACCTGTCAACTCTTTAACCATACCATCATGCAACTTCAAACAAACTGTACCAATCCCTTTTGTTGTGCAAGGATTGTCATCTCCCATGAACACAACGCCACCATCAAACTCTTTCAAGCTTGAAAACCAATCCTGTGAGGAGTCATATGATGAGTACAACCCGTATCCAACACCCACTTAGTGGCACAATCAAATGATGAAGAAGTGGTTAAAGCAAAATCAGAAAAATCTGTTTCAACTTCAGCAACATTAGTTTCAGAACTTTCTTTGCCTTTGATCTTCAATTTAGGACAATCTTTCTTCCAATGGCCCTTATTACGACAAAAGGCACATTCATCCATTTCCAAAGGTTCTACCTTTAGAGTTTCCTCTAGGTCGAGACTGTGATTTTTTCTTACTAGAAGATGATCTTCTCTCCGATGATCTACCTCTAATAAATAAAGCTTCAGAGGTACTATCATGATTTTTATCTCTATGCCTCATTTCATAATTCATCAAGGCATTTGACACATCTTCAAATTTCACAGTTTCTTTACCATGCATAATAGTGGTAACAAAATGCTCATAAGAGTCCGGCAAGGAATTCAACAATATTAAGGCCTTATCTTCATCCTTAATATCATCATCTAAATTTAACAAGTCGGCAATCAACTTATTAAAAGCATCAAGGTGTCTAATCATTTTTGTACCTTCTTTGTATTGAAAACAGTAGAGCTTTTTCTTCAAATGTAGCATGTTCTCTGCACTCTTCGTCATATACTTGTCTTCCAATTTTTGCCACAACACACTTGCTACCGTCTCCCGCATCACAAAATACTTCTGAGTTTTTGCAAGGCACAACTGAATTGAAGAGCAAGCCCACAATTTAATTTCTCCCATTCCGGCTTCGACATAGCTTACGGCTTCTCTCCCAAAGCGACAAGTAGATCTTGTTGAGCTAACACATCTTTGACCTTACATTGCCACATCCCGAAGTTGTTTGTACCATCAAACTTTTCCACTTCGAACTTTGCATTTTGCACCGTAGTTCTTGCAAACCCGGAGCTGCTTCCAAAAGGATTTTCATCTTGCTCGTCTGACATCTTTGGCAACTAGACAGTACCCAAGAGCAACCAGTGCTCTGATACCAATTGTTGTGCTAGGATAGCACCAAACCTTATGGAACCAACTCAAGCTAACCCACATGAAATTTATCAAATGAAAATGCAAGAACAAAATATAAAAGACGCCAAGATTTAACGAGGTTCCTCAACAGTCAGTGTAACTGGAGTACGTCCTCGGAGCAGTAGGAGCTCACCCAATAATCCACTATCAGCCAAATGGGAGTTTACAAAGTGTTGGCAATCTCACAACCCAAATAACCCAATACACTCAATAACTCTCACACACCAAAGAAACAAATAAAGTAGGAAATATAATGAATAATTTTCTCTCTATACATGTAGCTTAAAGCTATTACAACAACTACTTTGGTGGATAATTACTAACCAAAGAAATGAGCACTTTCTTTTCTCTGAGGAGCTACGACACCCTTTCTCTGTTGCTCTGCTGCTCTCTGCTCTCTTCTCTCTGCACTCAGAATGGGTTTTTCACTCTCTTTTCAAAACCGAACATCCATCCACACAAGAACCAACAACTATTCTTATCACCAAAGAATAATACTCCATCCGAGGCTAGCCTTTTAAAATTCCACAAAACAATAAGAAACATAATTATAATGTCTCCCCACTTTTTATTTTTTTATTAGCCAAAAGATATATAATAATTTGGCCCTTTTTTCTTTTGCTTTGTTTAATAGCTAAAAGGTGATGTTGAGTTGGCCACTTGGCCACAATTCAACAGTTTGTTGTTCATTGTTTTAGTCATTGCTAACGTATTTGACATCGTGATCCATTCTGACCGAACAAACGTTCCAATTGAGTTTATCCCACAACAAATTTTTGACAACTTTTGTAATTGTCATCACTGTTGTTCTCATTTAACACCAATTTAAAGTTTAGAAACCAACTTCGTTTAGATCGGAATATGAATTCGAGGACCAAAGTGAAACAACCACTACAAGAGAGACCAACTTAGTTTAGATTGAAAAAGTTTGAGGACTAAAGTGGAACAATCACTACAAGTAAAGGGTCATTTTATAATTAACTTTAAAAAAAGAAGAAGAACCAAAACCCGCCCCCCCTTCCTCCCCTTCCTCCCTTTCTGCTTCGCACTCTCACCCTCGTCGACTTCCACATTTCATCTTTCTCAGAGCTCCACTGCAAATCCACGAGTGAAGGGTAATGTCACTCCCCGACTGTTTGAGTTTTGTAGTTGTTTTCTCAGTTAAATGTTTATTTTCCAAATGTTACAATTATCTTCTTCTTCTTTTCTTTTTTTTTTTTTTTTTTTTCTCTTTCAGCTCCTTCTTCTATCTATCAATTCCCAAATTCAATTCGGCTTGCCCAATTTAGGGTTTTTGAGTTCAGGTAATTTCAACGCTCTCTCACTTTACATTTGAATTGTTATGAATTTCTGATTTTATTTTTATGAATTTCTGATTTTATTTTGGGAACCGATTTACAATGGCTTATGTTAATGTCACTGTATATAATCAGAAGTTGCAAATTTTCACATTCAACCAACAAAATCTTTGAGGTGGGTTTTGATTTTTGGTTTGGTAGAGTGCATTTGATTGTGGTTTGGGATTTGTTTGAGTGGTGGGAGTGCAGATGGTGTGGGAATTTGGGTTCTGTCAAAACGAAGCTGCGGGTTTGTGGTTCAGTGTTTGTTGTCATAAGAACGAATTGCGTGGCTGCGTGTTCGTTGTAGGTGTAGGTGTCGTGATGTGGGGGAGACTGGGTTTCCATGTGCATACTTGGGTGATTTATTAATGATTTGATTTAAGCCATTTGGGTTATTTGGGTTTGAATTTATGAGCTTCTCTTGAGGTTGTTGGTTTGGTTTTGTGTGTATTTTGTGTTCTTTGACATGGGGGTGGTCAGAGAGCGGACAAGGGAGACTGTGAGAGAGAAGAGGAGGAGGAGGAGAAGGAGGGGGTGGTTGCGGGCAGGGATCAGTGTAGGTTATGGAGTAAGACACAACAGAGAGGGAGGGAAAGAAAAGAGGAGTTCAACAGAGAATGAGTTTGTTTATCTCTCATTTCAGTCCTATTTCTTTTCATCCTTGTTCCTTTTTCATTTTATTTTCAATGGACGACACGACGGTCTAACAGACGGGGAAACTTTTATATTGCCGAAACATTAGGTTGCAATGTGAAAAAATTTTAAATGAAATGGCCCATTTTTGAAAACACCACAAATCTCAGGATAGTATTTATTTTAATTTTAATTTGCTATAAAAAGAAAATTCTTGTTTCCAACGTGAACTTATTGTTTTCTTTTCAACTTGGTTGACTTAGGTTTGGCCAGAAGGTTCTTGCTATGGCTACATCGACGTATCCACCACCACCCCCATATTATAGGCTCTACAAAGATTACTTGCAAGACCCCAAATCAGCCCCGGAGCCTCCCCCTCCAATTGAAGGGCCATTCCTTTGCTACGGTGCTAATCACACTGTGAGCTTTTCTCATCCCTTGTTTTCTTCCTGTCAAAATATATGTATGTATGTATGTATGCGAGAATCTTGGTGTAAGTTAAATCTTTTTGAATTTATTTTTGAAGAATGCAATCTCATGTTTATAGCAGTCGCTTAAGCCGGGAATGTAATATTATATAGATTGATGAGATACTTCCAAGCTTGGAAGAACAGGGAGTGCGTCAACTCTACCCAAAAGGCCCAAATATTGGTATGTCTAACTCAGTTCTAATTTTAGGATTTAGGAATTAATGTGAACATTTTCTTGCGCAAGCATTGTCCAATCATCAATTTCACAGTTTCTTCTTCGCATTGGTTGAATTAAGAATTTTGTTTTTCGTTAACTAGTTAATGATGATTTTCTTTGGTAAGTTAGAACACAGTTACGAGGCTGATAAATATTCTCTTGATTACAGTTGTCCACAACTTTCTTGTGCAAGAACTAATTTACGCAATGCATTCAGAAGCAAAAGAAGTAGCAAATGTTGAGAAATGTTACTCCACATTTCTGATTGATTGCATAGTTTTCTAGGCTTTGGCATATATCCTTACTGGGAAAAAATTGCATGCCCTATTTAGGGCAATACATATGTCCTCTCCAGATTGGAGAGGAATTTTACGTTCAAGCTTTTGTATGGTTTGGTTTGCAGAGTATTATTTGATATAATTCTCAACAAGACATATGTGCGAACTGCCTGTTCATGCTTCTTCTGCATGTGCACACATTTGATTGTTTGTTTGTTTTCCTTGTAAAGTGTTTTATGCTTCTCTGACATAAACGTCGGTCCTTTTTAGACTTTAAAAAGGAATTAAGGTCACTTAACAGAGAATTGCAGCTGCACATTTTGGAGCTGGCTGATATTCTTGTAGAGAGACCATCACAATACGCAAGGAGAGTGGAAGAGATATCTCTCATCTTCAAGAACTTACATCATCTTCTCAACTCATTGCGGCCCCATCAGGTGAGTTTTTTTTTTTTTTGTGTGTTAGAATGTGATTTGTTGTTTTGTCTTTTGAAGAACTACTTTGTTTTGTAATGTCCTTTATCATACAGGCTAGAGCAACGCTAATTCACATTCTAGAACTTCAGATACAACGTCGTAAACAAGCTGTGGAGGATATAAAGAGGTATGCTTTGAACAATTACTGAAAAGCTACAGACATTTGATGCTTTCTTCTTGTTTTTCTTTTTTATTTTACTTGCTGTGGGTTTTGTGATCAACACCTTTCGTCATCGTTCTTTTTTATGCTTTCCGCTATCAATCCCCTACTCACCCTGACTTCCCTTGAGCCAAGTGTCGAAGATAAAAGAACGCTGATTTATTTTATTCCCAACCTTAGTTTTATAATTTGCATGGTGTCATTAGTAGTGTGAATAACCAACTGCCCCACGGGATTGGATGCTACGTAATTGCTTGTGATAATTTGCTCAACTTTCTTGTTTAGGAGGAGAGAAGAAGCACAGGGACTTCTCAAGGAGTCTATTGGAACGTTGGAGGACAACGGTGCATCTTTTGCTCTAAAGTAAGGATTGTGCTGGTACTCGTTATTCTACCACCAATTAAAGCCTCTTCGACAGTTGCATCTAATCCCGTCATGCTTTTATTTATTAGAAAATTCACCTTGTACTATGCTTAATTCCGGTCTCGAGCGTGTTCTAGAACGAAGGCGTGATTCAGTTCTCTTCTCGTCAAAAGAAAATGAGAAAAGAACGATTCAGTTATCGTTGTAAACAGAGTAAAAACTATTGAATGGTGGTGGTGCATGAATGGTATTCTCGCTGCTCTACTGCTCTGCAATCTATATCTGTATATTACCAAACATGGAAACATAATTTTGACAAATTCAAGAGCTCATCTACAAGAGCAAAGTCCGATTATTGCGTACGGATATGTTTAAGAAGTGGATATGTGGACTGGGTAGTAATCATGAAGACGAAAACGATGCACCGCCAGTCCGCCACCACTAACTTGTTCTCCGGCTATGGAACGCTGCCACTAGTTGTCCGGCTATGGAACAGAACTATCGACATGTGATCAATAGTAGAGCGCTAGTTGTCCAATACAAAGAAAGAAAATTGGATAACACTTGTTTGGCATGAAATGTCACAATTTTTCCAAACACTACAAAATGGGTAGTGCGATCCATACAACTATTTTTACTTCTCACACAATTTTTTCAATTTCTCGCTGTCAGATCAAATGAATTGAAAATCAATGAATAAACATAATGGAATGGTTTCCATAGTTTTTCTTTTCTATTACCAAACACAATGACAGATAGAGACTTCCAAGAAAAATTATCAATTTCTTTTATTTTTAAGGCAAAAAACTACATTAAACAACAAAATCTTGAGAGCAACTGATACAAATAAAGCCTAAAAGAATGGCATCACGAGCATTAGTGATTTTAAAATTGTACCGCTAATAATAAGAAGTAGTGATTCGGGCACACATTTTTTACCTATCTAACTCTGCATTCAATACTGAATATTTTGTGAACTCTTATGCACTCATCATGCGAAGCACGCAATTACATATCAAGCGACAATAATTAGGTATCAAACTATATATTTACCTCTAGCTAACAAATGAATTATCTTCTAAAAACCAAATGAATTATAAAATCATTTGAAAAAGAATTAGTTGATTAATTAATTAATTAACTCTCTCCTTCAGTCTCCGGAGACACCCGGGGCGTTTGCATACCATGACATACTCCTGACTTCAAGTTGTGGGACAACCAGAGAGGGTTGAGTTTTCCCGAGAAGCAAACAGAAACCCTAGCTTTTGAAAATTCCTCATAGCCTTCGCCATCATTCATCAATGGCTGTCTCAGAGGAAGAGTGTTCCTTATGCCCTCTTTGAAATCACGGTTTTTACCAGTCCCTATTAATCAGCTTGTTCAACTCCTCGAGCGGGTTCATTATGCCCTAAATTGTTCATTTTCTTTTGATTGCGAGGTGGAAGTTGGCTTTCAAGCCTCCACCTGAGGAAGCTAACGGGCGGGTGGCGACCGTGCACATTCGAATGACCTTGTTGCAAGATCTCAATGCGCAACTGCTGATACCACAGAGCTAACGATATGAAGCGTAAAATCTTGGATTCACATTTTTTCAGGTAACTCAGTGAGCAGGGAAACAGCTGCCCTTGAAATGCAAGTGTGGAACATGGATGAAACTGCCTTTTGCCCTATGTAACAGATTCTGCAATTTTCTTTGTGCAGTACACGTATTTATACTACGTTATCATTTGGTATGCAGACGGGACGGGACGGGACAGGATGGGACGGAACGGAGAGGGAGCAAAGATGCCCTCGGATGGAAACAAGGAGGAAGAAGGAGACAGAGAGGTTATAATTTTGTGTTCTACGGATGTGGAACAAGTTGTTCCAGGGGGTGAGGCAAAACGAAAATTCACCTAAAATTCGTTCCGTGGAACAGCCCGTTCCACCTGTTTTAGGCACATCAAACGTGGGACGGAACGCTTCGTCCTACTCTGTTCCGTCCCGTCCCACGTACCAAACGGTACCGTAGAGAACAAGAAGTGAGAATTCATTCTGTATATGGGTAGATGTGCCTGTTCGTTTGGGCTGCAGGGTAAATAAAATCTTGGGTAAATTTCATTCTTTTCCGGAAGCACTGCCTTATGAAATTCTTTGCTTTCCTTTGAAGGTACCAAAAGTTATTGAGCTTCATGCAATTTCTTTCTGTGCATTATGCATCGGCTTCAAAAAAGACGACGGCGTTAACTCACAGTCACAGGTTTGCTACAATGAACACAAAAATGACAAGGTTTGTTATAGTGACTTTCATGAGGTTTTAATATATAAGACAACCCTAATTAGGGTTTCACAAGTATTGTAATTAATTGTAAGTAATCCTAATCCTTGGACTTAAGAGTTTTGTTGGATGTATGAAGTTAACATATATCAACGAATTCAATTTAATTTAATTATTTGAATTTCCAAAGCCACCCTTTAAAATCCCTCTTTTAACCTTCTACAGATTTGCAGTAAGTAATCGCTACCAGCTTTCTCTTTGCATTCCATCGTCAAAATCTTGTATATCAGGTACGCTTTAATTGTTGGATATCTAATTAACTAGTTTTTTTTTTCAGTATGTTTAATCACAATATACCCGAAGGAATCTTGTTTGATATCCTTGCAAGATTGCCAGTGAGATCTCTTTTGCGGTTTAGATGCGTTTGTAAATCTTGGAAAAGTTTAATTGGCAGCTCTAGTTTCAAAAGTGCCCATCTCGAAAGGAACGTCGTGCAAAGTTCTTGTGATTTTCTCCTTATCCAAACAGATGACAAGAAAAATTGTTTGTCACTGTTTGATGCTGAAACATCGTCCAAGTGTTTGGATGTAGAGCCTCCTGCGGATAAATTAGTCTCAGATTCTTTGTTCATGGTTCGTCCAAAGGATTGGTTTGTATCTCTTTTTATAATTTCTTTAGTTTGAATAATCCTATATATCTATGGAATCCATCAATCAGAAAGCTCAAGAGGCTTCCTATAATGGCCTCGCTCAGCACACAAGCCATTTTGTTAATGGTTTCCGGTTTCATAGTGGGGAAAACGACTATAAGGTTGTGAGGCTTATTAGGGTTTTGCTTCCACACGAGAGTGTCGTCCTTGAAGTTGAGGTTTACAGCCTTAGATCAGATGCTTGGAGAAGAATAACTGTGATGCCTTATTTTTCAAATACTGTCATTTCTTGGCAATCAAGATGTACCTTCTTTGATGGAGTTGTGTATTGGATTATAACGGAGCATTCTCACACTTCCATCCTTGCTTTCGATTTGGGCAGTGAGGTTTTTCGAAAGATTGTGATACCACCCGAATTTATAGGTCATATTTTTATTCTAGTGTTTGAGAAATCACTCTCTTTGTTCCATACAAGACCTGGTCATGCATATGGGTTCTGGAAGCGGATGCTTAATTGGAAAGTTATCCGGACGATTTGTCTTCCTGATGGTACTAGATTTGTAGCCTGGCCATTGGGAATTAGAAAAAATCTTGGCAAAGTTCACATGATTCAGGATGGAAGAAAACCAAAGCTTGTTTTGTATGATCCCGAGTCACACCAAGTTAAAGATACTGGAATCAGAACGGAGTCCAGTTACTTTCACGATGTTGATGCTTATTGTCAGGGCCTATTTTTACTCGACTGGTAATCGATCGAAGTCTAAGTTCTGAGTCGTGTTTTGTGTGATAATCGATCGAATTCTAATTAAGGAATTTCATGTTGCTGATACACTGATATATGATTTTATGTTCAATCACTTCAAAAACAAGAGGCGTGCTGGTGTGGAAAGATGGAGTGCCAAAATGATCACCTCCCTTTCTTGTAAGAAAACTTAAAGATCACCTACCACGTTTTTTGTAAATTCTCAATTTTGTTTATCTGGAAGCGCTTTCGGCCAAACCAAATAAGTCCAATGGACCATGAACGTTCTCAAACTGATCATAACTTAAGCTTTACCACATCAGGATCTGAAACCCTAATGCATTGTTTTGGGGGCTGTTGATCCTAATTATGACCCATTTTAGAACTCCGAATGCTTAATTAACTTTGGGGCACGCAACATCATCATAAGCCCTGAACTCTGTGTTGGCCTACCTGTTACCGTGCGCAACAAAGTTATTAGTGGGATGTGATTTTCAATTTTTTTAGCTTCTCACACACCATGGTTGTCGGATAAAATAAATCAACTGGAAACATAAGACAAGATCAAACAAGAGTGTGTGAGAAGCTAAAAAGACTGTTTATCATTTCCCTTAGGGAAATTTTATTTGAGCCCGTATAACATCTTTCTACACCTAACTTAAACTTTAATTTTAATTGTCTTTTTTACTTTATTGCATAATTACCTTCAAGTACAAAATGAAATTAACAATAAACTAAAACTTATCAATAAACCCACTCTATAATTAAACTCTACCATCACCCCTTATTTCATCCAAATAATCCATGTAATGGTTTCGTCCAGCCTTCTAGTGCATGCATGGTTCTTTCATTTGATTAAATCACTACAGTACCAAGGGTGAGACATGATTCATTCAAGCCATGAAACTAGCTACCACTGAAACTTCATGCACTTCTGGTATGGATAGATCAAGCCATTTCAGATGTGAAAGAGTAACAATATACCTAATTAACTAGTACAAAAACATGCTTGCACGACGAAAACTTGCGCGACGCATAAAATTACGTCGCGCAAAGCCGTTTTGCGCGACGTAGGTGTACGTACGTCGCGCAAAATGGCTTTGCGCGACGTTAGTTTGCGCGACGAAGGACTACGTCGCTCAAAGCCGTTTTGAGCGACGTACGTACACCTACGTCGCGCAAAACGGCTTTGCGCGACGTAGTCCTTCGTCGCGCAAACTTTTGGCGCCAAACCCTAAGAAATTACCGCTTTTTCCCACCTTTGCGCGACGTAGGTTTACGTACGTCGCGCAAAACGGCTTTGCACGACGTAGTCGTTCGTCGCGCAAACTTTTGGCGCCAAACCCTACGAATTTACCGCTTTTTCCCACCTTTGCGCGACGTAGGTTTACGTATATCGCGCAAAACGGTTTTGCGCGACGTAGGTGGGCATGCGTCGCGCAAAGTCACCAACTTTTTTTTATAAGATTGTTCCTACCAAGCTCTTCATTTTGCCCTTCACCCTCACTAGTTTTAAATGCAGGCACCCCGTCATTGCCAAAAGTGTCATCCCTTGAAGGATCAACCTGACTGGTCTGAAAGAATAAATCCAAGCTAATGCTTGGAAATTGATCAGTACCTCTCCAGAAAGATCTTTTGGGAGATAAATTTTCGTTCTGGGTGGCACAGAACATTGCAGCTAAACAACCTCATCACGAAAAGGTACTTTTTCCTGAAAATGATCTTTTTGCCTTCCGATTTAAATTATGTTTAATTTTACTCATGTTCGTGATTAAACTTAGTTAGTTTTATGTTAACTTCAAGTTCGTAGATTTTTACTTTCGGAGTTAGTCTTCAAATTCGTATTGCTGAAAATTCTGGTTGATGTAGGATCTGATGAAGGATTATATGCTTGGGTTGTTGCAAACCAATGCAGACAACTGGGATAATTGAACTTGGTGGAGCTTCTGCTCAGGTATGAGGCTATGAGCTGCAGAGTGCAGAGGTAGCACTATAGTTTTATTAACATGTTATTTTTACATGAATTTTCATCTACTTTTTTTCATAAATTAACATTGTCATATCGTTTTCACATTAATTGAGTATCTAAAATTTGGGATTCGTTTTAGCGCTTGTAGTACTGTTGCTTCTATTTATGCTGCATGAGATATGAACTCAATAAAATCTTGAATTATATTAAATTAAAAACTAATTAAGATGATAAAAGCTAAGTATTAAATAAATGTAAACCAAAGTTTGCATATCTTAACATGCTGTAGTGCTGCAAATTTGATTAGAAACTAAGAACGTAACGTTCTAGAATAATAACAAACAAACACTCTGAAGTCTCTCTTAAGTAGTCTTAGATATAAGTAATTAAACAACTCATAAAGATTAACTTTGAACTTAAATTAAATGAAAGCAAAGTTCCCCACCAGCCCAACAGACCCCATATTAGTGTGGGGTGGCTCCCCCAGTAGCTGCAAAACGAGGCAATTTATGAATTAGAGATGAAATTTAAGTTATGAATATGTACCATTTTTGTACGTGCTCATTTTACCATCTACAACATCTGGTACATAGTCGATATGTGGTCAAATACAACCAAATAATGGAAATATGATTAGGTATCTCTTCATCCACAAGCACTAAAAAGTTTAGGTCTTTTCACTTAATAGTCCTTGATAATAGTACATTTTAGAGAAAAACGCTTCAAGTACAATGCTTTTAGAGGAAAATTCGGCTGACGAGAATGGGTGAATAACAACAAAGGAATTTTGCAAGTAAGAATTAGTTAGAAAATGAAAAGTGGCTAGCTGAGTTATTTTTTAACTCTAGTTAAACTCTTGAGGTGTTTTTTCTAACTTACTGAAAAAAATAACAGAGAAAAGAGTTGGGAGAGTTGTGCATGGTTCAAGCAGTTAGCAATTTGAAGTTTTTAATTTTTGGTTGTCTGATAATGTTCAGTGCAATTTTATTTTAGGTGACATTTGTTTCAAGTGAGCCGGTGCCTCCCGAGTTCTCTCGTGCTGTTAAATTTGGAAATGTCACTTACAATCTCTACAGTCACAGCTTTCTTCATTTCAGCCAGGTATTTATTTAATTCTATTAACTCTGTTTAAAGTTGCCAGCCAAATGGAAGCTTGAAACTTTAATTTTCCTTAAGGCATTACTTTGGTTTGAAGTATAGAAGTAATTTGGTTTTGCAGAATGTTGCGTATGATTCATTGAAAGAGGGTATTGTTCAGGAGACTTCGACTCAGGTAAAGATACAAGCTTTGCTTTCTTCACTGATTATATGATGCCTTGAACCTAGGAAACGATTTGATTAGGACTTTGTAATTTGTTCTGTTTGTTCTTATGGTATTAGTTTGTTTCTTTTCACTTGTTACTGCCTTTTGTAATCAACTTTTTCACTGTCATTATTTACTCTGATTGGTGATGACAGAGGCATGGCTATTGTATCTCATATAAGAGGAGAACTTATAAAGGAGAACTAAGGAGAACTAAGGAGAACTAAGGACTAAATTAAGAGATAGATGCGTAAAGTGAAATAAATGGTGCATAAATCACTTTATATTAAAATGAAGTCTAAGAGAAATTTAACTACATTTGAGATGTCACAGTGTACATAAATCACTTTATTTTCTTCGCTAAATTAATTTTTATTAATTTTATCTATTTTATTTAGTTTTAGTAATTATTGTGATTTAGTTTATTTGTATGCACATATTTTTGTACATCACCTACAAAATTGTTTTGTGTTGTACGAAGTTAATACTACTTAACTTCGTACCCTTTTCTCAGGAAAAGCTTAGTTTCCCGTTTGAGAATTAGTTGGATTTCGTGCATGGATGCAAAAGCATGACTGCGGTCCAATTAATTCTTGAATTGTCCCATTTTTTGGACAGTTTGGGAATGCCCTAGTTATGTGTTGTAGTTTGCGGTCCACGGATTAGGTTTCGATAGTGGAAATTTTGGTAACATTTCCTAATGTTCTTTGAGTACACGGTGGATATTATGTATCTACGATGTGCACTTGAAGAACTGTAAGGAGATGCTGCCAAAATTAGCCCACGTCGAATTTAATCCATTGGAATCGTAAATTACGGCACATAAATGTGCATTCTTGAATGGGATAGGGCCCTGACCGGAGGAATAAGGTGACAAGACGATAGTTTTCATGTCCTAATCTGTCTCATAATTTGCTTAAATTGTACTTAATTCCAATTTTTGAATAAAATGAATGAATGCCAGCAACGGTGTAGATTTTCAATGGCATCCAATTCCATATAGTTTAATTAGTTATATCTCCATTTACCTATATACCTATTCATTCCAATTTTATATGATCGCTGGATGCAAAACTTTTCTAGATATTATTAGTTGCAGCAGTTGCATCTTTTAAAGATCTATACAACTTTTTCTCACTGGTTCACAGTGGATTTTGCAGTTACTTCTCGAGCGTGGGGAAGCACGAAGGGTTATTCCTTGGTAACACATTTATAAGGATTCCGTTGTAGACGTTGGTGTAATTCTTGTACTTTTATTCGGATTGCAGACAAAATGGACAAACAATGGATACATAATCATAATAGATGTGCTGTTGAGTACTTGGATGGAATACATGCGTTCATTGAATTCGCAACTAGACACAACCTAGGTTCAACTCATATCCGATGTCCATGCAGGAGGTGTAACAACTCAACGTGGGAGACATTCGAGAATGTTCGATTTCATTTAGTAAGAAATGGGATGTTGGAGACCTATACTACTTGGTATCATCATGGAGAACGATTAGACCAAGCTTCGTCTTCATACGTGACACGAGTGGAAACTGTTGAATCTAATGTAGATCCTAATGAACAAGTTATGAATATTCTAAATGACGTTTATCCATACGCCTTGAGCAACACCAATCAGGAAGGGGGAGAAGGGGGAGATGACGGCCGTCCAACCATGGACAGTGAGGCATTCAAAAACTACGAAAAACTATTGAAAAATGCCAAGCAAGAATTATATCCGGGTTGCGAGAACTTTTCAGTGCTCACAGCAATTGTGGAGTTGATGCATGGCAAGATCAAGTTTCGTTTATCAAACAAGTGTTTTGATTACTTTTTGGGAGTTATCAAGAGGATGCTTCCAAAGGAGAATTGTTTACCTGAAGATCATAAAAGTGCCCAAAAAGTGTTGAAGGGTCTAGGATTGGGGTATGAAAAAATTCACGCATGTGTAAATAATTGTATATTGTTCTATAAGGAGAACAAAGCGTTGGATAAATGCCCTGTCTGCAATGAGTCGAGGTTTAAAATGACATCACAGAATAGAAACACCAAGATTCCACAAAAAGTAATGCGCTATCTTCCATTGAAGCCTAGATTGCAGCGATTGTACATGTCGATGCATACCGCAACCGACATGAGATGGCATAAAGAAGGACGGGTAAATGACGATGTTATGAGGCATCCTGCAGATGGAGAGGCATGGAAAGAATTCGATCGGATGTACCCTGATTTTGCAGCTGACCCGCGCAACGTCAGATTGGGACTTGCCACCGATGGATTTAATCCGTTCGGGGTGTTAAACCAAAAGCACAGCACTTGGCCGGTCGTCGTGTTTCCTTATAATTTGCCACCTTGGAAGTGCATGAAAAAAGAATACATGATGTTGACTCTATTAATTAACGAAGATCCAGGAAAGTCCATTGATGTTTATTTGCGGCCGTTGGTTGATGAGCTAAAAGATTTATGGGAAAACGGTGTTCGTACATACGATAAATATACTGGGCAGATGTTCACCATGCGAGCGGCAGTGATGTGGACAATAAACGATTTTCCTGCATATGCAATGGTTTCTGGGTGGATGACTAAGGGTTATTTGGCATGTCCAATATGCAAGGAGAACGTAACATCATCTTGGCATGCAAGAAAAGTTTGTTATCTTGGTCATCGTAGATGGCTCCCTTGGGACAACGAGTGGCGTCAGAACGATAAAGCCTTCGACGGCACAAAAGAGACTCGGCTAAGACCAAGAGAATGGTCCGGAGATGAGATTTTGGATCAGTTAAACCGTTTGGAATTTGGTCATTTCGGCAAAGGGGTCAGTAACCCCAGACCAACTACACATCTGAACTGGACGCACAAGAGTATGTTATTTGAGCTTCCGTACTGGTCAAAGTTAAAATTGAGACACAACCTCGATGTTATGCATATTGAGAAAAATGTGTTTGACACTTTGGTCGGGACAATTCTAGACATTGAAAGAAAAACAAAAGACACGATCGAAGCTCGCCTCGATTTGGAACAAATGGGCGTTAGGTCATCTTTGTGGATGAAGAATGTCGGTGGTACGTTGAAGAAATGCCATCCTTTTTTTACAGTTAAGCCGAATGGGAAGAAAGAGTTTTTCAACTTTATTTCTTCTGTAAAGTTTCCAGATGGTTATGCTTCCAATATCTCGCGTTGTGTGAACGTGAATGGGTGTAAATTTCAAAACATGAAGAGTCATGACTGTCATGTGATACTCCAACGCCTTCTTCCAGTTGGTATTCGACACTTATTGCCTCTTGATGTGGTGAAACCAATCGTGTTGTTGTCGAGATTTTTTTCGCAGTTGACTGCAAGGTGTTTGCGGAAGTCAGATGTTAAACAATTGCAGGACGACATTGTGAACGTCTTATGCAAGTTCGAACAGATATTTCCCCCATCTTTTTTTACAAGTATGATTCACGTGATGATTCACTTGCCAGATGAGGCATTGCTTGCCGGACCAGTGAACTGTCGATGGATGTATCCAATAGAAAGGTACTTAATTAAGCGTCTATATATATATATATATATATATATATATATATATATATATATATATATATATATATATATAACATATTCATGATCAACGAACGCTTTGAATAATTTGTAGCATACCTTTTATTTGTGCAGATATCTTGGTGAGTTGAAAAAGTCTGTTCGAAACAAGGCAAAGCCCGAAGGATCACTTGTGGAGGCATGGGTCGCATATGAGTCACTTACTTTTTGTGCAATGTATCTTGAAGATGTTGACACAGCTTTCAATCGTTCTCAACGCAATAATGACGGTGGTGTCAGAAAAGAGAAACTGTCTGTTTTTGCCCAAATTGCGCGACCATTCGGCGATCCTGTAAAAGACGAATCATTTACCAAAAAGGACATGGAGGTAGCGCATTGGTTCATACTCAACAATTGTGACGAGGCTTTGCCATACCTTGAAGAGCATGAACAATTGATGAAGCGGGAACATCCTTCACATTTATATGCCAAGAAGCACCGTGACTTGTTTCCTTCGTGGTTTCACGCACATGTAAGTTGTATGTGGTTTGAATTGAGCATATTTTCCAACTTGTTCATGCCCGTCTTTAAATTTGGTTATACTAACAAGTTAACTTTTTGTATATGTTATATTAGATGAACAAATTGAAGGAATTGAATTCACCCTCTTACGATGGAGAATTATATAGCTTGGCGAGAGGACCGCTTCACGTTGAATTGTTCTCAGGTTGTCATGTCAACAGGATCAAGTTCTTGGGGGCAACACGTGATGACAAGTTGTCTACTCAAAATAGTGGTGTCCATGTCCCGGGTGCGGGTGACAGTGAAGACATTGATTTTTATGGCAAACTAACTAGTGTAGTACAATTGCTTTACAAAGACAGGTGTCAAGTGATACTGTTTAAGTGTCTTTGGTTTGATACAAACCCACATAACCGAACGAGTGTCAAGCGAGACCATGGTTTACTATCAGTAAACACTATGAGACATTGGTACGATGAAGACCCATACATTTTGGCAACAATGGCGAAACAAATATTCTATCTAGACGACCCTAAAGCTGGCAATGGTTGGAAAGTTGTTCAAAAGATTGATCGAAAAGGGCTATATGATATTCCAGAACAAGATCATGATGACAATTACGATAACGTCGCTGACCAACAGTTATCATCTTCGATAGAAATTGGTGAAGAAACACTCCGGGATACTAATATTGTCCAAGAACCATTTGACGTAGTTGGATTTCCTGAATTCGAAATATCAATTGACCTTGGTGATCTACCTCAATACAATGCACCAGAAGAGGCAAACGAAGATGAAGACGAATGGGAATCCGGAAATGATAGTAGTGAGGATAGCGAGAGTTATTATTGTAGTTCGGATGATGATTAATATAAACTTGTAAAGAAAAATCGTGCTTTTTCGTTTATAACCGTCAAAAAGTTTTGTCCCGTTACATAATCTCTGA